ATTTGAGTTAAAAATCTTTGTTTGTGTTCTACTGAAGAAACAAAGTCACCTACATCTTGGATGCCCTGGGGGTAAGCAGATAAACATCAAATTTTCATTTTTGGGTGAACTATCCCTTTAACATGCAGTTTCATTTGCCTGTTGCAATGATTATAACTAATGCGTCGGGTGACTCTGTGTATCAGTGACATAGATCAGTGTAAAATGGTAACTTTCATCTCAAAGTTTTGGCAGTGACACTGTCTGAACTGGCTTTGTTTGATGAGCAGGCACAATTTCAATAAACACAGCAGTCAAAAACCTCTTATTTAACCACTTTGACATTATAAACAGCTGAGCCTCTGTAGCTTATTCGTGATCTGTGAGGTAAAAGATTGAATACTAACAGACACGATTTTAATAAAATACACAATATCATCGCAAAGCATCTTAAAGTGTTAGTTCACTCAAATGTACTCACCCTCATGTTGTTCCAAACCGGACAAATGACATAATGACATTATTTCTTCTGCAAGATATTTTGTAGAAGGTTAGTCCAAACAGCATTGGATCCCCCTGACTTTCATTGTAAAAAAAAAAGTAATTCCGGTTTGGAACAACACGAGGGGAGAAAATGACAGAATTTCCATTTTTGGGTGAACTATCCCTTTGCAAGAAACTCAGAACTCCTTTTCAGTAAAAATAAAAGGTGACTTGGGAATTATGTATGTGAGAGAAATCATAGTTCTTCACCTGTAGTGATACAAAGTTTGCACATCAATATTAAATAGATATATTTAATGTGATCACATTTCAAAATATTCTCCTTCTTATCCTGCTTCTAGTGAATGTTGTGGGAATGCTTCACCAGTTTTGGGAGCAGAAGCAAATGAAAGGGATGATGATGGAGACAGAGAATCTGGTAGTCTATGAGTCCATTCCCTCACCCGGCCCTCCCTACATATGCTACGTCACTTTACCAGGTGGCAGCTGCTTCGGAAATTTTAAGGTAAGTGAACTGACTTCCAATATGAATTTCTACTACATTTTTATTTGGCATGTACTATAATGGATGCATTCATAAAGACACTACTTGCTATTATAATTTGGGATTTTTAAAATTATTATTAATGATCAAAAGTTTGATTTAAAATGAACTTTAATCCCTTCATTTTGGTGCAATTCTGGCCTTATTCCATTACTAAATCAGATCTAGTGTCTTTATGAACAGCATCTCATCAGTACTATTCACTTCAGCCATAAAAAAGGCTCTTGTGTGAAAATGAGGAGGGCCAACAGGTGGTTCTTATTTGCTAAATTACTCCTGCCAGCCGCAAATCAGTATGTGGCATTTTCCTTCAGTTCAAATGGAATGTTCTATGAAATTAATCTTAAAAAAAATAATGTTTATTTATTAATTTGTCAATATGAAACACATAACATGACCGCAAACAGATCTTGTCATTTTAAATGTTTTTTTTTAAATAACTAGGAACTATGGGTATTTATATTAGTTGTAACCAGGGAGGCTGTTACCATGATTTCTATTTGAAATGACTGTTATTTGAGGAAAATTCAGGACTAGCTGCTGCTCTTTGAAAAGACTGAAGCACACGAGAGAATTACCACTCAAGTGACACTACTGTCTGAATGGACTGTAATCTTTGATCAGTGATTGAGCATATTGAAAATACTCTTACACTTTGTACTGATTATTTAATTCAAAGAGTAGACCAATTCCATAGAGGAGTTTCCTTTTAGATCAAAGACCAAGGCTGTATTTACCAAAAGCTTTGTAAGTCTAAGTAGATCGTAGAGACCATTGGTGCCAGGGGTTTCTACAATCTATTTAGGCTTACAATGCTTTTGGGAAATGCAACCCAGAACTTTTTTTTCAACATCTTCTATGCTCAAAACACTGCTCTCATATATTTTTGCTAATCTTTTCTCCTTTTTTTATTCTCAAAAGTCCAAACATATTCATCTTCATTTCAGCACTGCTTGTAAATGTAATAGCCTGGTTATTATTTTGCACTACAATCTATTTAGGCTTACAATGCTTTTGGGAAATGCAACCCAGAACCTCTGTGCTCAAAACACTGCTCTCATATATTTTTGTTAATCTTTTCTCTTTTTTTTATTCTCAAAAGTCCAAACATATTCATCTTCATTTCAGCACTGCTTGTAAATGTAATAGCCTGGTTATTATTTTGCACAGTAAGGGTTTTCAGCAATATTACAAATCCAGAAACTAATCTCAGCGGTGCTAGCCTCAAATCTGTCTTTAATCGTGTTTGTGGTCCACAGACATCATCTAAAATATATTGTGATGTGGTTAGTATCACTCTCATGTCATTTATCCTCTGCAGTCTTGGCCTTTTCTTCTCCAACAATAAAGACAAGTTGCTCTGACTGAATAACAAAGCAAAGGGGTGTCTAATGAAACCCAGACCTCCCTCTGTATTTGTGTCTGCTTGGGTTGAGTGATGACACGTCTGTAAGTCATTGTGTCCCACTGTTCACAGGGTAACATTGCAGATGCATCTGACCCCGGCACCAGCATAGGAGCATACTGTCTCATGCTGGAGCTGAACACTGGGAAAACCATGCTGGAATTTCAGGTTAGGAAAAAAAAACAGCCTTTATGTAACCTTGCTGAAAACTCCAGCTGGTCCAGACTGGTTTATGCTGGTTGGGTGCTGGTCTAGCTGGAACGTTTGCTGAAGCAGGTTGACCAAGAGAAATCTTGCTGGTTAATGAAGTATTAGCTCATCCATAAATCTGTCATTATTTATTCACCCTCATGTCATTTCAAATCTGTGCGACTTTCTGTTAACTGGATGTGAAATATAAAAGAAGATATTTTGAATAATGTTTCAGCTGCTCTTTTCCATGCAATGAATCAGCACTGGACCATTCAAGCTACAGATAGGGTGCAAAAGCAACATAAAAAAGCATCATAATAGTAGTCCATATGACTACTGACTAGTCTTCAGTAGTTTTGTGGTAAAGAAGATATTTTGAATAATGTTTCAGCTGCTCTTTTCCATGCAATGAATCAGCACTGGACCATTCAAGCTACAGATAGGGTGCAAAAGCAACATAAAAAAAGCATCATAATAGTAGTCCATATGACTACTGACTAGTCTTCAGTAGTTTTGTGGTAGCTTTGTGTGAAGAACAGACTAAAATTTAGGCTACATATAATTCAGTGACAGTCTTAATATCAGCCCTGCTCTACATGAAGCATCAGTGAGAGAATTATGATATCCAATTTGTGAATGAATCATTATTTTGAATCAGACCTTTTTTTCATACATTTTATTTTGTAAGGTCAATTTTATTTCATTGCTTTTCACAATACACATTAATAGCAGCTTTACAGAAAACCATGTCAGTGTTTATAGTATCTTAATACCTTCATTCCTTATAGTCACATTTAGCCTATTAAAGCTGGGTGATAATATAGTTTGCAATGATATAAACAGTTGAGATTTGATGTATAGTATATATTGCTTTACTTGAGTATACTGTATGTATGCTAATAAAGTTACATTTATAAAATACATACAAATTTATATATAGAGCTGTGCGATAATTTAGTTTACATTTTGTAATGATATATACAAACATGGAGTTCAGATTTGCTATATAATATATATTTCTTATTGTGTGCTGTATGTATGCAGGTAAAGTTGGAAATACTATAGATGTAAGATTAAAAATATTGCTGGATCCTAATATAGTTTAAATATAGTTATGTGATGATATAAACAATAAGACACTAGATTTTCTATATAGTATACAGTATAGTTGCTTTAGTAGTCGTCGGCTGGAGTTATGAATTAATTTTCCATAAAATAATAAGCAGCACAACTATATAAATCAGCGTCAATATTGATAATAATGAGAAATGTTTCTTGAGCAGCAAATCAGCATATTGGAATGATTTCTGAAGGATCATGTGAAACTGAAGACTGGCGTAATGATGCTGATAATTCAGCGTTGCCATCACAGGAATAAACTAGTACATTTTAAATACATTCAAATAGAAAGCAGCTATTTTAAATTGTATTAATATTTCACAATATTACTGTTTTTGCTCAAGTTCAAGTAAAAGCAGACTTGGTGAGCATAAGAGACTTCTTAATGAGTTGCACTTTAAAAAATATTTACCAACCCCAAACATTTGAACGGTATATAATTACACTACCAGGGGACAGTGTATAGATTATCTGTGAATAATACATTTCAGTCTGTCTCTCACACAAAACTTTCATAATACTTCAGTGCACAGCTCACTTGAAACACTTTAATGTTACACTGTAACTGATTTTTGTAATTTGAACAGTATTATACTGTAATATGTACAGTAAGATACTGTAAAATGTGTATACAGTATTTTACTGTAAACCGCAAAGGATTATGGGAAAATATACGGTCACTACTGTATTTCCTCACTACTGTAAATCAATTTACAGTAGTGAACTTGCCC